TCCTGGTGTTTTCCAGCAGCGTTTGCGGCGCTGAACCTGGACATTTTTAGCAGCACATCCTGGTGTTTTCCAGCAGCGTTTGAGGCGCTGAACCTGGACATTTTTAGCAGCACATCCTAGTGTTTTCCAGCTGCATTTGCAGCACTGAACCTGGGTGTTTTAAGTAGCATATTGCAGTGTTTTCTAGACACCAAACCTGGGTGTTTTTGGTGGCATATTGTGGTATTTCCCAGCACAGTTTGTGGCACCGAACCTGTGTGTTTTTTGAGGCACATTGCTGCATTTCCCAGTGGCGTTAGATGTACTGAACCTGGGTGTTTTTAATGTCCCTCAACAATGTCTGAGGCACTGAGCCTTGGTCTTTTTTTGCCACTAAACTCAGCTCATACACATGTAATCTGACCTTCAGAAACATTGATATGATGCGCATGAAATGTGGTTTGCAGACACGTACAATGCCAGCATTTAATTCTGCAGGCTGAGAGATTTTTTACAGTGTACTCATGGTCGCAGGCCCCATTTTGTCTTGGCATTTCTTGCAAATTGTTGTCTATGAACTAACAAGGAGCAAAAGCAGCTCCTCATGAACTGAACTGTCCCCAGCAGCCTGCAGGCTCATTGCCCTCCACTCTGCTTTGGAAAGTGTTTGTCTTGATTACTCTGCTCAGCTGCTCTGATTAAAGATGCTCCACTGCGATTAGTGGCATTTCATTATTTACTTAAAATCACCACAGTATGAAATTAACTGATTTTGTGAATGGGTAAAGAATAAAATGAACTCATGATGAATGCACACATTTGAAATATCACGATTAGTGGAACTTATGCTGATAAATATGCCAGATAGAGCAGAGGAGAGAGCTGCTACAGTGACTTTATGTGGTCCATGTACGGCCATTTGTCTGTGTCAGTTAATCTGTCCACAGACATTTATTTTGAAGGTTTATTAGTGTGCCTGATTAAAAGAGGATGGAAATGCCTCAATTCTCATCTTCATTTCCCCAAACTGAGGTAAAGTTTCACGTAAAGGAGTTCTGAAGTTGTAGAGACGCATAAGAAGATGCTGGTAAGAAGCTATGGAAAAAACTCTTCAGTAAATACTGGAGGGAAAATTCACAAGGGCTACCGAGCAGGATGGAAATGTCTGGCACAGCAGTGGAGTTATGACCACGCTTATATGGAGGGAGAAGGTCCAGTTGATCAAAATATTTTCTTAAAACACATTTTTACACCTATAGATATCCACAAACTGCTATTACGTTGTTTCAAATATTCATATTTCTCCTCATATTATCCATATTTTCATTTAGAAATGCCAGTTCCTTCCTATCACTATAATGGCTTAACTCCTGACCTTTTGATTGACACCTTATTTGAGCCAATAGGAGCCTCAATGCTCTCCTTTTAGGCTACAATAGCCAACAAGGGCTTGTCTTTAAACACACTGGGCCTGTCCCATTATGCGCGCTTGATCACAGTTACGCACTTGGACACTTGACGTGTGCGTCCATGTGCTTAGTGTAAGTGCGCAAGTGTATCCCATTTCTACGACGACCAAAAGTGCAGTGCGCTTGATTTGTACATTACCCACGCTTACGGTAAGAAGGAATGGAATTATTTACGAACCACAGAATTGATCTGAAATAGGGACCACGGAACAAACGTTTCAATTCGGGAAACGATTACCTGTTTACCGGGGCTAAAAATACTGCAGCTGATGGATACAGGTGAGTAGTTTGCTCCGTCATTTCTTTTGACTGATGTCTTTATTTTGAACAGTAGTTAACTTAATTAACCCTACCCCTTTTATTCACTAATTAATAACCTTTAACTTTCCTTTAGATATCCAACGTAGTGTTATATATGCTTATACATGTTAGAATCGACAATGTATGCAGTTTTAACATTGCAAAATAACATCAGAGCTGTCCTGGCTGATGTCCGTTTTATCTCCATGGTAACATATATATGCGTAATAGGGTCAAAGTTTAAGGTATAAAGTTACGAGACAGTACAGTGTTCTATTTGTGCAGTACGTACTTTTTAGGGCAGCTGTAATACATACTAAAAGTAAAAAGCAAAAGTATGCGATTCAGAATGCACCCAAAGGGCCTGCCTTATTTTCTGAGGCCTCATAGCCTATCAATAGCCAGCGACTGGCCCAGTGGCTTATGGGTCTTGTAGTCAATGGCACTCCTGACCTCCAGAGGCGTTTGTAACTCTTTCTTGGCATCACAGGCTGTTATAACCTTATATAAACGATAAACAAATGGTTCCTCTGTTGTCTCAAGAGACAAAAAAGTCTTCTTATAAGCTCCGAAATGGACATTTCTATCTGTTTTGATGAGTTTGACTGACAGAAGCGTTTATTGAACCAGCTATGGTTGTATCCTGAACTGGTCTGCATCAATCGAGCGTAGCTTTCGAGGGCTGGGTTGTATTTGAGGCAGAACTTTCTTTTATCGGAGATTAAACGAACAAGTTTGACAAATAAAAATGTGAAATCCAAAGCCTCATATTCACCAAACCCTCACTAAAATGAACTTTCATGTGCACCTATTTCCATATCTTTTAATATAAAGACTCCACACCAGCATCTGATCAATTAACTGTACACTTATCAATAAAGATCTGGAAATAGAACATCGGAGATCTGATAGAAAGTGGGCCGATGAGACTTTCTAATGTTAAAAGTGCTCAATGAAAGCAGTCATCCTCGACAATAAATATGATTTGCGGCACGGAAAATATAGCCGGCTCATCAAATATGAATAATGGTCATACATTTTTAATGGGGGCAACATTTTACTGAAACGAATGAGTACAAGTCTGAGAAATGGGATGGAGATTTAACATGTGCGCACGTGTGAGGCTTGTAGTCCACAGGGACAACCGGAGGGTTGTCGGCAGCGATTTTTGACAGGCAAATGCAGCTGTTGTATCACTGCCAGACTCCATTGAAAAAAACAGTAATTTTGGCTCACTGAACACAGGAGCTGCTGGTCTACTGCTGCCTCTATCAGTTAGTTTGTGTGTGCTACTGTGTGACTTTGGTGTTTCAAGGGGTTCATTCGAACTCACCAAAGTCCCGAAATAACTGAAACAAACTAACCAACTGAGGCAGCAGCTTCTGTGGTCAGCGAGCCAAAGTAGCTGTTTTTGTCAGTGGAGTCTGGTGGCTTTGATCAGCGCAAAGACGACGACCTGAAGCCGTTAATGGCTTTCGAACAGGCCGTCTGACAGAAATAAATACTCTCAATACAGCGTACACTTAAAGTGATATTGATTTTATTAGTTTAGCGTCTGTGTTGGCCACTTCTTTCCAAACTGAGGGCACGCTGACCGCCATCTACTGTAGGTAACATGCTGACATGAGTACGCCATACACGCCATCCCTTAGAGAGAAGACTTTATTGATCCCAGGAGCTAAATTCACCCAGCTAAAGCTACCCAGCAGTACTGTAGAGCCGTTACATGAGCTGCACCTTTACCATCTGCAACATTAGAGTGATGAACACATAAAAGCATCAATAATTAGAATCCAATAGTAAATATTATTCTGAAATGTTCCATTCTGCACGATGAGTATTATATTCTCCTCACTGACTTGGTCAATCCATGTGAAATTTGGCACAGTGGTAGAGGGTCATGGGAGGATGGCAATGAAGCAATATTACATCAACTGGCCAAAGGGGGGCGCTATAGCAACCGATTGAAATGTCAAACTTTGAATGGGCATATCTCATGCCCCGTATATCGTAGAGACATGAAACTTTGCACAGAGATGCCTCTCCTCATGAGGAACACATTTGCCTCAAGAACCCATAACTTCCGCTTATATAGATTTTCCGCCATTTTGAATGTTTTGAAAAACACTTCAAATGGATCTCTTCCTAGGAAGTTTGAGCGATCTGCATGAAACTGGGTGAACATAATCTAGGGACCAATATCTAAAGTTCCCTCTTGGCAAAAGTTGGAAAACTTACTAAAACTGAGCTTCTATAAGGCAATGAATATTGCGGAGGGCGTGGCTCATCACATAAAGGTGTATAACATCTCAAGGGTTTCACCCATCACCACGCAACTTTGTAGGCATATGACCACACATAATCTGAGGGGACCCCTCCATTATTGACCCCATCAAACAAAATGGGGGCGCTAGAGAGCTCATTTCTTATCTAGGCCTAACCGCCATATGGATTTTTACTAAACTTGGTAGATATGTAGAACAGGACGCCTCAAGGTGACTGGAGAAATTTAACTCTAATTGGCAACTGGGTGGCGCTATAACAACAGAAAAATGCTTACAAATGGCTAAAATGCGACCGATCGCTGTGGCTCCCCCTGTGGACCAATGTTGGTGTTTTCTTCTAATTTTTGGTATGACTAAGTCATGGTATGGTATGCTGTACATAATCACGGAAACTGTCAGTGTGTCATTCTGTCAGTGTGTCATTCTGTCTGTCCCACGTTTTTCTACTCACTGACATGGTCAGTCTATGTGAAACTGCACATAGGCATTGAGGATTGGCATAGGTAGAAGGTGACAAAGCTACCAATGGGTATGGACTAGTTGTATATGAAGTAAAAGATCTGAGTATTTTCTCCGTCACTGTGCATAAAAATGTCTTCCAATTAACTAATTTCTCCCCTTGATGCTTTTTAATAGAACAAACAGCAGCAGGCTCTTTTAGGGTCAAGGTTTGAGCTCAACATTCATTCATCAGTGTGAACTCCTGTCAAAACATCTTTCATCCAAACACTAAACCTCCTGCTGCTGAGACACTTTTGAGTAAAGAACGTCAGCTTTCAGATGTAAAAAAAAAAAAAAGCTCAAACCAAACACCTGCAAATATCTTTGCCTCGGGCACATTTGCATTTTGATGAAGAACCGTCTTGGTATGTGGGAGGCACTGGCAAACATCCTGGTTTATGAACTGTCTGTCAGCTGCATATGAAGCAGCGCACACTCGCTTTAGTGGGGAAGAAGAAGAGGAAGAAGAGAGGGACGAAGAGAGAGCATTTACAGCCAGAGAGAGAGAGACAAAGGAGGGAAAACAGATTGTGTGTTTGAATGCATCGCCTCTGGTGGAGCCTCAATAAGGACGAGGAAGAGCAGCTCTGCAGTCTTTAGTGTGACAGCATCACTTTCTGCTTCGGCCAGTTTGGAGCAGAGGAGCAGGAGGAAGTCAGAGGAAAACTTTAACCAGCTTTGGGGATTTTATTTGATCAGATAAAAGGAGCATCTCGCTGAAACTGAGGAGCAAAGATGAACCAAACTGCGTCCGTCTCTCATCAGATTGAGTGTCAGCCAATCAAGGATACCAAGGTAGAATGGATTTGATCATGTTGTGGCTCCTCTCCCACACTGCACCACAAACAGCATGTTAACAAAGTTTTGATTTTATTTGAGCTTTTACAGTCTTTAAATCGTCTGTGTATGATGTCTGACATTTGGTTACTGCTTCTCACAAGGCTTGTGAACCAATAGTATAATAGTATCACGTGCTACGTTGGCGTCGTCAGCGTTCAAGAGTCTTCATAGTCGTAGTTTTTGATCCATGGAGGTTGTATATTTTTAAAACGTTTCTCAAGCTGAGAAAAGCGTCTTTAAAATCCAGGACGTCATCACAAGTCTGTAAGGCAGGCGAGAGCTCACGGGCGGGGCCAGTGGGAGAAACTCGGACTTTCACCCCCTTAACTTACGTTCTTGTCCCACCACATTTCCCCCTGACGCTGCTCGGCGCAGTTACACAATAACAGTGACGGGCTGTGTATCACGCTGACATGAAAGGACAGCTTTCTTGTCTGTGTCTGACGCCGGAAGTCACTGCCACTGCGTCAGGATTTGATGACTGGGTTGTGAGAAGAGTAGCTTTCGAATGATATATCATATGAGTAAGCACGTGGTTGGGTTTAGGCAACAGAATCACGTCGTTAGGTTGAGGAAAAAAGAACAGGGTTTGGCTTTAGAACCTTACAGGACACAAACACCGCTCTCCTGGGTGAAAGCTGGTGGTTGTTGGACCTATCCACTACCCGTCCCGCCCACCATACTCAGACTTTCGCAACCTTAACTTTAGTTGTTGTCCTGCCACGTTTCCCCCTGACGCCCGCCAGGCACCGTTAAACTATAATGGCGACCGACCGCGTATCATGCCGACATTAAAGCTGCGTTCAAGCCCGGAAAAGCCCCTACTTCCGGAAGAAGTGCGTTTGCCGCCTCACATCAGATCTTGGACGTAAACAAACACAGCTGTACAAGGCTATCTTTGTTGTAGCCCAATGGAGCTGGACTGATGTTGTTAGCCTTTTTGGCTAAATGAAGACGTTTTGCTAATGTATGGTGTTGGCAACTTCTGCGTGTAATTATACACGGAATGTTCAAATTATGTGTAGCAGTGGAGAATTTGCTTAAAGACGTCTTTGGGATGCATTTTTTTTACCTAAGAAAAATTATTTGACTCGCCGGTAGCGAAGGGGGGCGCCATTGCTGTAATGTCATACCACGTCAACTCGGGGAACTCGTGTTGCTACACTTGCGCACGATGTTCCAAGCAAAAAATTCTGCTCCGACCATGTATTCAAAGCACTTTGAATGGAGTTAATGGTCGGGACCTTGGAACCTCCGACCTTATGAACGCCGCTTAAAGGATGGCTTTTTTCGTCAGTGTGTGACGCTGCAAGTCACGGCCCAAGCGCTGGATTTTGACGACTTCGGAGTGAGACTGGGTTGCCTAAAATGTCCAACATTTTATGTCCACTGTATTTGACAGGTTGGGCCGAGAACGCATTGGGTAATGTGAGTACAATGGAAAGGGTTGGCGGAGTGCGACATCTAGTGGCCAATGTTAGCATCATTAAAAAGGCTTAAAAGTAAATGTTCAGTAAATACCTACGTGTTAAACTGGGTATTTTTTTTCATAGGATGAAAATACCTTATTGTTTTATACAGTTTATGGATCTCTGCTTTTAACAGCTCTTATTGGAGTGATGAATTACACAGCACTATATTCACCACTCTTTTATTTATTACCTCACAGGGAAACTGATCAATAAAATAATTAAGAAATTGAAATAGGATGAATATTTATCAAACTGGATCATCAACCATTGTGACAGATCAAAGAATATTTATGGACTTTGTGACCTCTTCATGTTTTATGGATGATATTAACAGTAAAATACAGAGACACAGTGACAGCAGTGAGCAGAATAAAGGCTCCGACATTAAAGAGCTTCGTTATTGCTCACAGTTTATGCAAAGCTGCAAGACAGGAAGACGAAAGCCTAATCCCGTACAATCTTGTGCTGCAGCAGGACAGGAATAATCTGGCAGAAGCGAGCTTCCATAACTCATGCAAAGAAAACATTACACTTTTGAAGGCTGTTTTTTGGCGCGTGAGGGACTCTTTGCTTTCATCCATTGCCTTTTGAAGAACTTAAAGGCTTAGGAAATCACCCCAAAATAGCTATAAAACAAACAGGGATGCTTTGTTGTTTTTCATGTGCATTATTTAGTGAGAGGGTTTAGCCGTGTCATAAATCACAGCTCGATAATTCACCGTCTGGTTTCAGCTGCTTTATAAATAAGCCGCTGCCTCCTGAGATACATTAGCTGCATATGAGAATTTACCCACCACAAGGCTGTTGATGCTAATGACTAGATTTTTGTTGTTGTTGGATTTGTTGGTGGGGATTTAAGCCTTCCCCTGATGTACTGTAATACTGGCACTGACATTGTTTTTATCAGCAAATTAGCATCATTTTGTGCTGGTGTTTAATCGCTTTAATCCGGACCATGTTTGTGCTGAAACAATATGATACAGTGTTGTCAGTCGGTCATTGGCGGAGACTAAAACTTTCTTTTCTTTTTCAGTTTCTTTAACTGCAGATGTTCAACTCCTGATCAGATTTTAAACACCTTTTCTCATTTTATGACTCTTTAACGTCCACTTTTGCTGCCATTTCTTAGCAGTCACCATTATTATCACTTGAGGCAACCCAAGTTGCAAGTTGCTGCTTTGAGACTCCTGCTTCACAGGCTCTCCTTGCCAGATTGTTCTTTGTCACTCAGATGCAAGACTTTCCAGCATTTATTCCTGGACTGCTTCCTCGTGTCCGACCTCGCCTGCCTCTGACTCTCCTGCTTTGTGTGCTCCCCGGTAAACCACTCAGCCTTCTGTCCCCAACCGAGAGCTTTGCTTCTACGCTCCTGGTTTGCCTGTTCCCTGTGGCTGTGTGGAGGGACTGCCAGTCAACTCTACGTTGTGAGTTTACCTGTATCTGCTGCGTGGGATTTCCTGTGCTGTGGATTACAGATGTGTAATTTGTGTGCTCCTAGTTACGGACTTCCTGCTCATCAGCCTGAAAGCCCGGTGCATCTCATACAGATGCTAAAGGCTGCATTGTGTGTTCATGTGTGACCCTGAAGGCCACTTCCCAAGCCGTGTTTTTCAACACCCTAGGAGTGAGACTACACTACCTGCAAGGTGTAAAACACATTTTGGGGACATTACATATCCCCTCCAGACATGCTTTGAGGCATATAGTTTCTGGGAAACATCACCAGATAAAGAAAAACCAAGGTAAAAGAAAACTGAAAAGAAAAAAGGAATGAAAAGCATTTGAAGGCAATATAAATGTTTCCATTCAGGATGTGTCGAGCTGTCTGCCCACACAGGACCTGCTGGGGTTGAAAAGTGTCCCCCGAGTTAATTCACCTCCTGTGAACGCTGCACACTGAAAACAGAGCAGCTGTATTGACCCTCGATTCATTAGCCGCCACAAAAACAGCCACCAAACAGCTTTGCAGCATGTCAATCATCTCACTCAACACAAATCAAAAGGTGCTCTGGAGGCGTGAAATCTAAACATAGTCATCGCTTAAGCAGACATAGCAAATGGAAACTGATCCAGACTCAACTAAGGATAAGAAACATGGCAAACTGTCACATTTCAAAGGCTGGAAACAGCAAACATTTTGGATTTTTCCTTGATAAATGACTTAAATGAATATTTTGTAAGATTAAAATTGCCCATTGCCACTGACCTGTAGTTTCCCCAAAGCTTTAAACGTGAGGCCATAGATGCAGTTTCACCGTGGGTCTGATTATCGTCCAAATCATGGCTAAGAATTATACATTTTTCCTTTGAGACAAGACTTTTGATGTGTTGTACATATGAAGCTGTCATTTTCTGTCCTGTCTATACCATACAATCCACAATAGACACAACACAAGAATCACTATTTAAAATCAATGCATATTCATGAAGATATAGTAGAATAGAAATACTAAACGTGTGAAAAGATCCATTCATTATGGTCATCTCTCCCTCCTCCTTCTGTTGCAGTTGCTGCCATCATCATGCTGGTTGTTGCTAAGTAACTTGTTATTCCAGGAAACTTGTATCATACATATATGTGTAGTGTGTACTTATACCGTGTGCTCGTACGCTAGTGTTTGCAGCACTGTTTTAAAATGTCACAACATGCTCATTCGCCAAAACGTCTCCTTTCATCTCCGCAGATATACTATGGAAATTTTGGTGTCAATCTATTGACATCCTAAACTGGGATGCATGATTTAAAAAGAGCCTAAAATTGTCTTTTAAAAAAGTTTTACCTTGAACTCAAAGATTGAATCATAACACAGAATAGAGACAGTAAGATTAAATGTATGTACGAACTGTGCAATGCAGTAGCAGCCAATGAGTTAAAGGTAACCTGGGGGGTGGGGGTGGGGGGGGGGGCATTAAAAGGTCCATGGTTGAGCCTTAAATTGGATGAAGTACAATAATTTACTTACTGATTTAAATCACTGACAATAAAAGTTACATGTGCCATCTGATACTCCCCCCCCCCCCCCCCCGCAGGTGTTGTGAAATGGCGTGGTCTATCTGGCATGGGTCAGGTGCCTGATGTGCAGAGCTCACAAGTGCTGCTAATGTCGGAGTCAGAGTGCCTCACCCAAAATCAGGGGCTCCTAAAGGAAAAGTCAGGGTACACAGAGAACAAGAAAAAGGAGCATTTTTTAAGTAAATGAAACCCTCTGTATCAGACTCAGTGTGTCAAGTGAAGATACAGGTATCATATAGGACCTGATGCATCCATAACCATGTTGTGTTATCGTATTGGAAAGGTGGCCAAATAATGCTCCAAAGTTACACTTAATATTGGTGAGGGAAAAAGGAATTATGGAATTATTACCAGTATATTATGCTTATGGCTGTCTCGCTCCTGGGGGAACTCAGAGTGCGGGGACAGAGTTTGAGGAAGACAGTGAAGGAAATGTCAGATGAAGCAGCTAGATCTGGTCAGTGGATTTG